TGTGCTGCCTCTTACCCAGGAACCACTCAGGACGATTCTACCAAGGCAGCAGCGGCAACTTTGGCTCGGGACAAGGCTACACCTTCGCCTTCAACACGTGTGGAACCTCCAGTCATCCCCGCTCTTCAACAAACTTATTCCTGGGGATCAGGTTTTCGCAATGCGACATTGAGCAAATGATATATTTTGCCTAAACCTACCCGTGATTTTGTAAAAGCTCGACTAATTGTGCATTATTCAACAGCATGAGCTAGGAAATTGAGCAGTGCGATTTCTACTCTTCTGATCGAAATTTTGAACACTGTCTTTCGGTCCATTTTGGAATAACCGGATGTACGAGCTGTTATTGAAGGAATTCGTCGATTGTTTGCTATGGAGTCCTTCGCGGAGTCTGTGCATTGCTTGCATCAAGCAGACATTGCTGGTTTTTATAATCAAGTACAACTTTCCGGAATTTTGATGTCATTGTGTTTGTCGTGTACACGTATGCACAGAAAACCGAACAAGGTTTAGACACTGTCCTGCAGGCTCACATTCACAAGTTGGAACATTATCTCAAAACAATACTTTTCTGTTACATTGAGACACATTCCTGCTATTGTTCAATACTTGCTGGATAATTCCTTTTGTACGGTCGGGAGCCAAGTATTTCGACAATGTCGGGGAGCCAGTATGGGATCTCAGTTTGCACCTGTACTTTGTTCAGCCGTGGCTTTACAACGTGAATGGAACTATCATCTCTCTTTTTCACCCTTCACTTGGGATCGTTCATTGCACCATCGATATGTGGACAATCAAGATTTGTTAGGCATGACGCAGTCTTGACTTCCTGATCTGTTTACAACCAAGAAGTCCCAAGATTTAAAGAGTTTTCTCGGACGGCTGTTTCAGTGTCGTTCCATAGATCACTTCGGGTTGCATCCTCAATGCGGTTTTTGGATCTATTTTGGAATTTGCACAAGTTCAAGATGTCATTACTGGTATCAGTGCATTATTTTCTATGGAGGATTTTGCAGAAACTGCCTTTTCCTTGCGTCAAACAGATATCGCTGGTTTTTACAATCAAGTTGAACATGATCGTATTTTGTTGGCCATACAGTTCGCTGTATTCACCTTTGCTTCTCAGTGTGAACAAGGATTAGATACTGTTATGCAATCACATGTTGTTCGTTTGGAACGGATGCTTCGTGTTTTTTCAAGGATCTTGGAGAGAAAAGACGAAACAATATATGACTATTACTTTGCGTGATATTCCTAGCTTGGTGCATTATTAGTTGGATCATTCGTATTTCACGGTCGGGAGCCAAGTATTTCGACAACGTCGGGGTGCCAGTATGGGATCCCAGTTTGCACCCGTTCTATGCTCTGCAGTTCCATTTCAACGAGAATGGAACTTCACAATGTCATTTTCTCCATTTACTTGGGATCGTTCTCTACATCATCGATACGTTGACAATCGTGTTTTGTTGATTTCTCACCATAGTCGAAAGCTATCACATGTTCAGGTTTCTGGAATTTACAATTTTATTCTGCTCCCATTTTGTTGGAAGTGGTTGCTGGACAGGAGGCATTAGGTTTCCACCTTGATACGTTGCAACAGACTATCACTTTGGAATTACCTTGAAACAAACCTTTACGATCTATGCGAAGTGCTAGTACTTCTCGTGCTTTCCTGAGTGGACTTTGTGCTCGTCTGCGCCTCATTCGTTTTCATGTTTTTCCAGCCAAAATTCCGTTGGGCCAGGTTCAGGATTTTCTGGGCCTTATGTATCAACGAATTTCTGAATTTTTCACTGATGCGAATATATGTTTAATCCATCGTTTTCTTCGTAGTCTTTGGAAGGACCAACCCGTACAATCTTTGATGCAGTGGTGTCGATAAAAAGAGTTTTACTGTGCTTCTTACTGATTCGCCTCTCATATTGAGAGGCCATGTGTGTGTACACTGCTAATAACATGCAGTCTAAATATTGATTTGGCAGGGGAGTGCGGCATGATTGTGGGACCGCACTCAACGAAGCTACCACAATCATGGGATACTGGGTCTGATCAACCCAGCGTACCTACATCAGAGGATAGCAACCGGCTAAGCTGAGAACCGGAACTAGGTAACTTTGATATAGCATCCGGCTAAGCTGAGAACCGGAATTCATAGTCAAATTCATTTACAAAATCAATTTAATTTCAACTTCGACATTTGTGCTTTTTGTCCTTTGATTCATTTCAGGCCATTCATTCAGGAATTGGTGGTGCTCTTTTACTTCTCCTCACTACGCTCGAATCTATATATCCCACAGTGTGTGTATTAAGAGTTGACATCAAAACCAAGGGCCCTGTCATAACAACATGACGACAAACATCAAACATGTATTCTCAAAGGAACCACGCGATTTGTCCCTTTAGTGGCCTGGTTTTTGCATCAATGAAGCAAAGCATAGCCACACGGGTTAAAATATCCATCATGTATTTGTTTATCACCAAAAAGAAGATCATACATTCTTCTAAGATCTTCCAATTATAAAGTGTAGCCACGCGGGTTGAAAAATCATGAAAAATCCATCATGGATTAGTGATGAGTGTGCATTTCTCATCCAAAAAAAATAGCACCAACACGAAATTGGCCCATTCCTGGAGTGGATCAGGATTTGGAAATGCCTACGCTGAGGCCGCTGGGATCTTGAGAAGTTGGGTGATGCCATAGGGATGAAACACAAAGGAACTTGGCAAAGAGGCGGGGTGAAGCCCCGGGAAAAATAGTCAAAATAGTTTCAACATGATCTGCAGTTTTTCCATGTTGTCAGGTTTTGATTTGTTGAGTTCAAAGTTTGAATCCGTTGGCCATATTCCACGTCAAACTTGACCATCGATGCTGAGACGGAACTGATTTATCAAAGTTCACCCCGAATGGATGCTACATTGTAGCGAACTCCAACAGAATGTGCGGTTTGGAAATAATGGGTAGTTGGGTGTGCCTTTCGGAAATAATGGGTAGTTGGTTTTTGGAATGCTCTGCCAACCCCCAAGAAGTTTGTTGGCCTTTCCTCTTGGTGGTGATTAATCTAATATACAGTAGTCGTTACTAAAAAGGAGGAGACGTGTCCTGAAAGGCCGTAAATCCATCTACTTGGGCGCGTCATACAGGAGATGATGTCATCAGCATAGACCAAGACCACCGGCAGGTGGACTCATCACGTTTCATGAAAGCACGACGAAGCACGAGGTGACTTGAAACGCTTCCTTCTTTTGCTGCAGATCTATGTGACATACCAATCAATTAATGTCTGACATGTGTTTTCACAGCAGGACAATGTGCTACCAACTTTAATTTGGAATTGCACCTGCAATGTGTCCCGAGCGTAAGTATGAACAAGTTAAAACAAACATTAACATATATTATACATATATTATAATATTATAATCATATATATATATTATATATATACACATCAAATCTTGGGAATGCGATGCAGCGTTTTCACTTTTGCCATATGATGATACGGCATCCCATGGGAAAAGTTGGCCGCGTTCTCCTCTTGTTTTTTCTTTTTTTAATTCATGCAGCATGGATATGTGAATGTGTGGACGATCAATCACAATCCTTTAATCTGTCAAGATTTTTTAAGGTACCGGCCAAGCAGTGCAAAATCGTCAGATCATCAACACTTCAGTAAAGGTTGGCACTTTCTCAGAGCATCCCGGATGTCTTTGATGATTATCTTGTTGAAGGATCATTTCATCATCGCTTCTGCCAAAAAATATCGACCGATACTGCTGTCGCTAGCCCACCAAAAAGTCTTACCCAAGCCCCAAGATCATCCATGACAATTTGGTAAATATGATACATAGCATACATAGAAAAATAATTCATGTATACCATGTATACATTGTAGACATACCACGTATACATGTAACATCATGTAACACATCAGGGTCCCAGTGCGCCCGACACAGGGCGATTGGAAGCAAGACGACTTCGCACCCGAGTCGGGGGAGCCAAGCACGGCATGGGGTTGATCCTGCATGGTAACTGCAATGCGGTGATGGTTTATGAGATGCTGTGTGATGTTTTTGGTGTGTTTTTTTTAATATATGTGATGTGTATATATATATATATATATGTGCTCATGATTTTTTAGCGATGTTTTTAATGACAATGTTCTGAAGTTGTTTGATGTTTTTGTTGATGTGTTTGCCACGTTTTTAATGTTGATGTTCATCTAGGTCTGTTGACTTGGAGACTGGCATGTTTCCATCTCAAGATATATCAGTTTGGAGATCATTGGTGACGGTGCTTTTCGCCTGTCACCACTAGTTTCTATCGAATTTGTTAAGCTCCTATAAAATCATATCCTCCAAACATTGTTGGCGGGAGTAAAGTTTTGGGGTGTTTTCGGATGGTTTCATGGATAGAAGCCATCCAATGATAACCAATGCACATCATTTTGATCAGTTTCGTGGGCCCTGCCTGCGTGAATTCCACTGTTGGAATCGGAATAGTTTATATAGATGACTTGGCAGATCGAAAGTGTTTGTGGGCAAGACACAAATGTTATGCCATGCTAATGTATGTATATATATATATACCTAGATCTTCATGGATGCTTTAATTTTAGTCGTTTCAGGAAAAGCAGAAATTTCAGCTCTTGATGTCACAAAAGTGCCGCTGATGGGAAAAAATTGCCGCCAGCCCCGCCGGCACTGAGTTACCCAAAACACAACAGCCTCACAATTTGTACCCCTGAATCAAAAAGATAATGGTCAACATCATTCAAGTTCTTTCAGCTGTTTGATTGCACTAAATATCACTATTTGGGTATATAACGATGATTGAGATGGCCAATGTTGCAGGTCAATGGGTTGCCCTCTTCTTAAACACATCCAAGTGGTTTACCTAATCGATGGCGTTGGATCCCAAAGCCTCAACCCAAATCCCACTTCAACAGCTCTTTCGCACCGGACATTGCGATTGATGACATCGCATTTCTGCAGGGCAGCCCAGATCACCGGGTGATCCTTTGGCATTTCAACTTCATTTGTTGTTTCCTGAATCGTCGGTACACCGATTTGGCCTTTGTCAAGTAGAGCTGAAGAGCACGTGACGAAGCAGTCCGAGCTGACACTCTACGAATTAGTCTTGAAATTTTTCCCACTATGTCTTCATTCATTTCACATCCGAACAGCTGCAAATTTGGGACGAGGGAAGCATCTCTGTTTTGTAGTACCTTCAATACATCAAGTTTCGCATGGCAGATCAGGTGGTACTTAGATTTCATACCAAAACCAGTAAAGCCATACTTGTGCATCGCAAGAAAAGCACAAGCATTGTAATTGCGAGCAAATGCATGCATTTCTTTGTACAATTTGCCACCGCAAACTTTGTTCAACCATAGGTGGTGGGAGTAGCAGATCCTTTGTAAGGTTCTGGCTGAGTCAGCTGCATTCACCATGTGTTTCAAAACAGTCGAATCTTCATCCTTCAGCGGTGCGTTTTGAAACCCAACGAGCATAGTATGCACCCAAGCCAGCAAGTGTGAAGTATCAGACCCCTTACAGTTCACCCAAGGGAACGCATGCCATGAAGGACTGTTGAAGAAAGAGAGGGAAAAACCTCTGAGCGCAGGTGTCCTCTCAGTGGTCTTGCAAAACCAGCGAAAATGAAAATAGGCCCTGTCCAGCAAGACATCACGACGATTACTTTCACCATCCACATCAAAGTAGTGCATCTTGGCCAGGAGCATCACGCAACTGGCAATGAAGTCTCTGTATACTCCCTGCTTCGTATTGTGGAAAATGTCCCGGCGAAAAAACCGTTCGTAGGGAGGATTATCATCCCCACCTTCGTATTCAAACGGTATGTGACACAAAATTGGCTTCACAGAAAAGGGACGGACAGTGTAACAAGTTGGACCCCACAACGGCTCATGGGTTGAGTCTTCAAATGGTAGCTCAGGAGTACCTGCCATGCATTCATGGCACATTGGTTTGCCAATGGAAATTTGGGAGCCAAATGATCGCTCAAGTTCAGCAATACGCTGCACCCATTTCAAGTCCCCTTTGCTGCCAGTACATGCTCCAAACCACCGACGGCCACCACTGCAAAATCCAGTTTCAAACAAAATGTTGAAGTCCCGGACGATCTCAGTCAAAACTGCATCTACTAATTCCTTGTTCTTCTTAGGAAGCGCAGCCAAAACAAATTTTGTCAAGAAAGAATGCTGTTTCAAGTTCGTAGTCTGATAGCAGGCAGGGTTCATGGCTGAAGCTGGGGCACTATGGTCCAAGCGTAACCTTTTCCTGGCTGGCTCATCAAGGCTACAATCCTCGCAAGTCGAAGCACCCTTTTTGTTGACCCAGTTGGCCCAAGTGTCCAACCCCACGCAAGTCTCCATCATAAGAATGGTGGTGTTGCCTCTTTTCAAACCACGTCCCTCATCTCCATGAATCGCCAAAGCAAAAGTGTTGGATAAAGAACGCTCAGACTTTTGTTCTTTGAAAAGACAGTGTGTCGGGTGTATATGGGAATAAGCTTTCCAGAATGATTCCAGCTGCGCTTGCCCATCATCCAGGTTGGGGCAACCACCCATCAACAATTCAGGTGCTTTTTGTGTCAAGTAGTTCAAGAAGTCCAATGGTTTGATGTAAGCAAATTTCACTGTTTCACCATCATGCTCCACATCCACATAGGACAATGGAATTTTCCAAGTCAAGCCCCATTTGTTGATAAAATAATGTGCATCACGGCTTGCATTTTTGCGACTACGTTCTCCGCTGAGACCTGGCTGCACCTCCTCTCTTGCTACAGCAGCAAAATGAGAAAGTGTAGCAGCTGGAGCCTCAGAAGCTACCAGGGTGATGGGCTAAGACTGGCCAGCTTCATGGTGGTATGATTCAAAAGGGTATCTCATCCAAGATGTTTGATTTTTCCCCACCTGCCAGGTGAGGGTTGTTAGATTTTATGTCAGTTGCCTGCTCCTCCTCCTCCTCCTCCTCCTCCTCCTCTCCTCTCTCCTCTCCTCGTCTCCTCTCTGTCTCCTCTCCTCACGCTCCTCTCCCAGTCTCCCTGCCGGACCTCAACCACGACCATCCACGCCCAGTGTTCCCTGCCGGACCTCAACCACGACCATCCACGCCCAGTGTTCCCTGCCGGACCTCAACCACGACCATCCACGCCCAGTGTTCCCTGCCGGACCTCAACCACGACCATCCACGCCCAGTGTTCCCTGCCGGACCTCAACCGCGAGTATCCACGCCAAGTGTTCCCTGCCGGACCTCATGTAGGAAGATATGGGACAAAGAATGTGCAGAAGAAACACCAGACCTTCCCGGTCAACCACGACCATCCACGCCCACTGACATGTTTATATCCTGTTTGACAGACTGACATGCACAATGACCTGCCAGGTGAATCAAATGATTGGGATAGTTAGTTGGGCAAAAGTCCCGTGACAAAAGCTTCAGACAAAAGTGGTGTCAACAAGCTGTTTTGAAATGTCATGGTGGGGATCACTCGAAGCAAAGTAATTTATTTTTTGCTGGGATTTAAGTTTTGAGTCCCCAACGCCATCAGCTAAAACCTCCGCATAGTTGTGCGCAGTTTCTCCAGGCGGTTCTGGTCGATGTTTTGCACCTGGCAAGAATTAGGGTCAGGCAAGAATAAGAGGTGGATTGATGTCAAGGGGCTGCCCAAGATCTTTGCCCAACAGTAATGGTTCCCACACCAAATCCAAGCGGTAGTGGTAGTCCTCTCTTTGTTGTTGTTTTGAGACCCAACCAGAAAAAAACAAGGTAAGGGATAAGCCCACTTCAGCATTCCATGATCAAACAGCACCCATTTTTGAAGCAGCTGGGAAAGCCAAGCGTTCTCGATGATTTCATGGCACATGGATAGTGCCCACATCATAGTTGGCACGACTGAAGATGAAATGACTGAAAAATATAACATCTTTTTGTGTTTGAATTACACAAATCCAACCATGACTGTGGGTAGCAGACTCCAAAGCCCAGCTCGAATTGCAAATGGCACTGGATTGCGACACACGCTTTACCCCAGCGTGCGTGGCACGAAAGATACCAAACCTAGACTTTAAACATTTTACTGCTGCCTGCGCTTACCTTTGCCCTGGCCCTTGCTATGGTCAGGGGAACGGTGTTCTTCCTTTGCCGCACGTCTGCTCTGAGGTTTCGGCTTCGGCTTCGCCTTCCCATGGGCCTTCGCCTTCGCTTTGGGCTCAGCAGAGGTCTGCTTGGGCTGAAAAGGCCTGACAGAGTAACACAAGTCAAAAGGCTAAGCTTCAGCTGAAGATATTACAGCCCAAGATTGTTTTAACATTTTTTTCAAGATGTTTATTTGCCAAGCTTTTGGGACTTGAGAAGAATCCCTGCCTGGCCCTGGCTTCGAGTGCCAACGACGATGCCGCCCTGCCAGAACATTGCAGCCCCTTCGCTGTTGTTTCAATTTCAACACATGTGAAAAACATTAACGGGTGATTTGGGGGATCAACTATTGTAAACGAAAATGCTGAACCCCCACCTGGTCATAGCCTTGTCAACCAATTTCTTCAGATCTTCCTCTTCCCTTGGCCAAGAAAGAAAGCTATGTCAAGTGGTTGAATACTGTTTAAGGCCCAACACCATGCAATACTTGTCACTATGTACAAGATATGCATTGGACAAGCAACTCTCTCTTGAATCCTTGAACCACACCCTTGGAGTAGGCATTCGATATCTCCGTGTGAATCTCCTCTAGCGATGTCACTGAAGCACTCAGGGCCGCTGCCAGCCTGGGATGAAGGATGTTCAGTTAAGAGGGGGCAACAGGAACAAAGTAAACTAAGCTGTGGTAATAGCCAGCAGTTGTCCCAATACAGTTTCAATCAAAAGACCTGGTTTGCACTTCTGTCAGCTGCCCATCTTGTGGAGCCACAAACTTTACCTTGAATGCGGCGACCTTGCTGATCCGCTTTGCCAACGCAGTCCTCAGATATCCAACATAGGCCACTACCCCCAAGTCATGGAGATCCAGATTAATTCCTTAAGCCTAGGGAGTTTGATGTCAAGTTTCAGATACTTGTTCAGGGATGCACTGGGTAAAGCATCTGGGTCAGCCTCCGGGATGCCAAGCTGTTTCCTCAACTTGATGCCTGCATCGTCATTGGTGTCGTCATCCGACTTCGTCAGGTCAACATCATCATTGCCTGGAGACCAGGAGGGCAAAGGGCTTGGCAGGACGAGGTTGGAAGTTCGTGGGTTAGAGAATTTTAAAAAGGAAGGCGCCAAAAACTGTCCACAACACCATTTTGGTCCGACCTGTTCGACCATAAATAACATGAGGGTTACCCAGGTCCCAGTAAGTAATCTAATAGTCTGTAAGTAATTAATACATGAAAACGAATTGTACAGATAACGGTACTTGGTCTGGCCTTCTTGTCCATCAGCAAAGGGGCCCTCATGGCTGAGGGACATTCCACCAATACCCTTCTCATGCAAGCGGGCTCGCTTCGTGACCTCCACTCGGGAGGCTTGCCTGGGATTTCAAAGGTTCACCGATTCCTACTTTACGTGATTAATGAATGCTGGTTCTTTTGCTGGTCAGAGAAGGGGTGGTGGTGCAGCCACGAAACTTGTAGCTTCCCTTCACGGCCTTCTCGACATAGAACAAGGTGATTTGCTGGTAGGTATCACGCCTGCAGGAGCGGGGCACCGAACATATTCTTTCTTTAACTGATGACATGCATGAATATATAATCCAAAAATAAAGGGCAAGAAAGAAGAATGAAAGAAAGAACAAAAGATAAAAAGGTAAAAGGATGGACGGATGGATGGATCGATAGATGGATAGATGGATGAATAGACGGATAGATGGATGAATGGATCGATAGATGGATGGATAGATGGATAGGTGAATAGAACAAAAAAACAAATAAATACATAGATAGATCAATAAATAAATGGGTGGATGAATAGATGGATAGATGGATAGAGGGATAGATACCGAGATGGATAGATGGAAAGATAGTCTAGGTAGATAGATAGTCAGATAGGTAGATAGATGGATAGATGGATGGTTGGATGGATGGATAGATGGATAGATAGACAGACAGACAGACAGACAGACAGATCTTCAGGTGTTCTAAATAGGTCAATTCATGGGCAAGTCTTACAGACCAAGTGGAAGAAACAAGCAGATGGATAGAGAGATGGGTTCAATCGATCAATGGATGGGTGGACAAAAGGGCAGCTGGGCAGATAGAGAAACAAATAGATTCACAAGCAAACACATAAACTTAAATAATAGATATGTCAAAAACAAAAATTATAGTTGTATCGATGGACATGGACATGAACATCACTAAAATTAACTTGCTAGTGATTTTTATCTCCACAAGCAAGATGTGTCATCCTCTGCCAGCCAGCACCCCACAGGAAATCCCAGCGGAAGGTGCCGCAATTACATGCTTGGGGCCTCAAGAGCTTCTTTGGCTGGGATCGGCAGTGCTTCTTGACGGCTTCTATGCGCTGCCTCAAATCAGATTCTAGATGGGGAGAATTTACTATAATAGGCTGACAGGCGAAAACCATACCCAGTAGCAACCATAGTGGGAAATCCAGCCCAAACAATTGTTAAATTCAACATGAGGAGCTCAGACCACCCCCAAGATTCCATAGTGGCTTGGGTAACAAATTCGCCCTCGATGGTTACCTCGCACTCCGTCATCTCGGATTTCAAAACTTCAACCTCGCAGATGAATGTTTCCTAAGGGCGGCAGATATTCTGAATTAGAAAATATCCCTGGGAGGCAGTGCCCATAGACGAGACATAAATACGAAGAATACAAAGGGATATCTAAGTTACGAACCATGTTTCCGGGTCATACCCACAGCGTTTGAAGATGTCTTCCAAAAGCCTTCTCTTGTTGCCTTTTGATTTCCAATCATTCCAGATCTCATCGCTCACCTTCTTGCTACCATCAGCCCGTTTGGTGAAAATTCTCTTGGAACGACTCCGGATGGCTTCCGGTGTCAGATGGTGTTCATGTGTTTTGAACCGTGGGGCCAATGCATCACTGATATCTGGAATCTCATCCCAATCAGCCTCAAAGGGTTCTGCCTCCACATGGGTCCCCGGATAACTTTGAATGGTCCCATCGGAATTGGAAATGGTTCCTGGGCTAGCATTTGGGGAATCTGGGTTTGGCAACCTGTTTGGCTCAGCCATAATTGCCTTTCTTTCACTCTCTGACAACACAGGGATCCTGGCCACCTGTGGTGCTGAAGTGGGGCTCGGTTTGGGCCGGGGCTGTTGTGGAGTAACCAACCCCTGAGGTGCATAGACGTTGGAAACCACTGTCTTTTTGTTGGAAATGAACTCTTCATCCGAATCGTTGTCACGTTGGGTCTCTGGGAAACCTGTGGGTACCTCTGCGCTGGCTGAGGCTGAAAGACTTTGCTGTGGCGAAGGGATCCCCTTCACTGCAGGTGGCAGGGCCCCCTGCTTCACAAGGGTCTCCAGTTCCTGGGATGATGGGGCTGGCAACTATGTCATGCCTTAAAGTATGCCCCAATGTATCCAAACATTATATAACATATCCCCAAGCTCAGTCATGTGGATGTTAGCGTGCATGAACCTGGATAAGGGTATTGAAACTGAAAACGTCAAATATTGTAATAAAAACAATTGTTGCTATTTGGTTTTACTGTAGCATGTAATGTTCCCTTACAATCCATAGACTTGGGTTTTGACGGTGTCTTTTCACCAACTGATGGGGTGGTAAACTTAAGTAACCTACTTGCCCATATTACATCCTATGTTCAACAGACCCATCGGAAGTTTGAAGACAGGGCACTGCTAGCTGCCTTTTCATTTCTTCTTCGGAAAGGGACTCCACAGCTTGTCGTTCATAGTGTTGCCGAGCTTGGTCACATGATGTCATCAATGTCGCACAAGACCACGCTCGAGAGAGCATGGGAACCATGGTAGAGCTAAAGGTAGCAAGCTGCAATGGCTAGTGTAAAAATATATATGCTTCAAGATCTAATGTCAAACAAGGGCAGTTGGAAATTCGCCATGTTGACTCTGTGTGAAGTTAGTTGCCATCTCACCAACCCCCATCAAACACATTGCCACTAACTTTTTTTCGTACCTGGAGTTGCACATCTTGCAATCAGCAACGTCCTAGTGGTGAGGTACCACAAGGCTAGAGGCAGTTCAATTGGTGGGCTGAAAGGAATGAAGATCGTTTCCCAGCAGCTTCACAAAACAACAGTTAATTTATAGGCTTGTACTTTTTTGACCCAAAAACCCCGGTCGGGGAAAAGCGCCGTTTGGCCGCTAAAAAGCGCCGTTTGGCCGGCAAAAAGCGCCGCTGCCAAAATCTATTTTTTTACAATATACCCCATCAGACCCAAAATTAATATTTAGAGATCCTTTCAATCCACCGATTGGCTGTCCAAAGGGTCCTCCCATAGCTCCATCCTATCAGGAAACAATGCCCGGTATTCATCGGGCAGTCTCAAGTCGTGACAGCCCCTCAGGTACTGAATTGTGCCTCCAAGCTCTGCTGTGGACCAGGAGCTGCAGGGAACGGCTTGGATAAGCCTGCTTGTGGGAGTCTGCATATCCACCTGGGCATTGCGACAATGGGAGAACATCAACATGAACATAGGAGACAATGGGACATAGTACATGAACATGGGGAGAACCACTCAAAATGATCCCATACTGTTATTCTAGTTCGGCCCAGGCAACAAAAACACGAAAATATTGAGAAATATATTGAACACTAATCTGGTTGAAGGCTCTGGTAGCTTCCATGTGGGTTCTTCTTCACGCATGTGCATGGCAGCTTGAATGATTCTACCAGCAAACTTAGCTGGATAGCTCCTGAGAGTTGGTTTTGCAAATATATCATTTTCATCCCTGCAAACTTGTACAAGAAGAACCCCAAATTGTAAATTGGCAAAAACAATTTAACCACTTTCTGAGGCTAGGGGCTGCGTTGACTTTAGTGCCTTTGTACCATGATAACGCAGCTTCCCTTTTCCATCTCGATATTTGGTCGTAGTCTGCACTTCTGTAGGATTGAGTTTACGGTCAAATTTTCCAGTGCAAAGTAGCTTCACAGCTTTCCCATTAGATACCAAAAGAGTTCTTTTGGGCGAGCTCCCACCCCACAAACGCATCCACATCGCCACTCGGTACACCTGGCAGGGCAGGTATTATCAGCGAAGAGGACAGGTCACACGGGGGGAAAGGTTGCTACCATACCTGAACCCAGTTCAAATTATTACGAGAGATATGGTGGAAATATTACAGGTTTGTAAGTTTTGGTTTCTTGACTTCGGGGGTTGCAGCATTCCAAAACTTCCCCACTAACATGACTACATGACATGGCCTGGTTTCCTGCCATCATCAACTTCTTCAACGCTTCCTTGATATACTTGTAGTGGAAGAAAAGCGATGAACCAGGTTGTTCAATTATGAACCGGGCATTCATACACCCAAAAAGTAGAAGCAAAAGATCAGTCCTCCAGGGTTGATAAATTCGGGCTCTTCTTTAACAACACAACAATAACAACAACATGTCCCCAAATAGACAGATCTGATTGGACAAACCCTGTCCGGCATGCCAACTTGTTAGCTTTTCTATTTTGAACCAAAGTCTCATCACCACCTGGAACTAGAATACTTCTTTTGCTGGTGCCAATATTGATGCTTATCCATGTTGAACAGGGTGGTGCAAGCATGGCCACCAGGACGCCAAAAGATGACTGCATGGCCAACACCACGGCTAACCTCACAGCCCAGGTGGAGGCAGGTAGTGACATTCCAGGGTGTGTAAGAAACAAATCAGATCTATCAGTGGGAAAAAAAACAGTACAAAACATGCCAACAGAATGGAAACTCAGGGACGCAAAGCCACTGTCCCCGCAAAAGTCCATTGAATTGCGATGGGGATGTCGACGATGACGACGATTTGGTTTCCGTTTTGGGACAAAACCTCTTGATATTTCAAAGGATGCCACAACCATGCCAATTTTGGCTGCAAGGGAAGAAATCCTTCCAAGTCCCGAAAAGTATTCGATCATCTCCCATTCTTCCCTCCCAGCCAGCGGTCCCGCCACCAAGCATCCACATAGAAGCACTAGTAAAATAAAGTCCTGGGATGCCAGACTGGTTTGTAGTCTTCCCCATTGAAAGGAAACAAGTGAGTATACAGCTTATTTCTGGGTGTTCTGAATTAATGCAGCTCATGGGTCTCTAGGTGCATTGATTGCCACAAGGCGCCGCAACACCAGTGAAATTTCATCGGGCGACATGGTGTCAGCTGCGGTTTGCTGCTGTGAACTTGAAAATGGCTCCACACAGTGGTGACTTTCCATTGCGCTTGCAAAAATATTTTTCCTTCTCACAAATTATGTGTTGACTGTTGACATCGTTTCAACCCCGGAATAATAACCAGTCACACCCATGGCCCCCTGGCCCCTCCCAGTCGGAGCAGCTAATCATGCAGGTAGCACCACCCTTGGCGACAAAGAACCCACGGCTAGCAAGGAAGGCTGGGCCGCGTCTTGGCGGCATTCAAGACGTACCTGTGGCAGAAGTGGCTGAAGGGAAAAACTTGAACTGGGCTACCAAAAAGGGTTAGAATCACTACAGGTGGTATATTGAATTCTTTTAAACTGTAATGTTTCTGGGGGCTACGAATTTAGCAAAAGGGCATTTGCAAAAATAGCGAGTCTGTACTGGTAAAGTAGCTATGATATACCCAGGAATTATTGACTCTTCACAAGATAATGTTTCTCCAGGTCGAAACGTGTAGATGCAAACCGATTCAAACAAACAAAGTTTTTTTTCGCATTCGATCAGTTGAGATTTTGGCTAGCCATGTTCAGCACAGAAAGCCATCTCTCTTGAACTTGTACCCAACAGCTACGACCCAATGAAGCTGTCCCAGCCCAGCATCATCATGAGGGCCCATACCAAAAAGGCGAGGGGAAAAACAAATCAGTTGTTTTGCTACTTGACCATGTTGTATCATGTTGTATCTATACATTTCATCAATAAATAATAGTGTTCACTTAACAACATGCGGGGCCCTTGGGTAAGACTGGGGCAGCTCCAAAGATAAGGACATCTAGGCCATTCAGGCATCCAGGAACCATACGCTAGAGGCAGCAAGCCAAGTATCGTGCCGACAATGGCAGCCCGATACAACCCCGAATCCACACAAGCATTGCAGCTTGTATGCCACCACAAAATGCCAAGCTCAGCAGTCCTTGAAGTAGCTACCTGGGAGTTTCGATTCAGAACCAGAGTGCCGGAGTCTCTTGAGTCTCAACTGAAAGGTGGTAAGGAGGGCTGAAACGATTCAGGGGTTTGAACTGTGGGAAGGATGAAGCTGTCGGAAGGATGCTTGAAACAATACCATCAACAATGCCATCGGGAATGAGGATTGACATGATACTGCAAAAAATATACTAAATTCACCATGGGACGGACAGAGTCATAGCTCAGAAAATGTGCGGCCTTCTCCTCGGCAATCTCCATGAGCTCTTTTTCGGAAGCATCGGGGACCTGCCTGAGATCTGTGAAAGCAAAGTTCCACCACTTGCCCTGCAGGGTACCGGGTACTGAAATGCCAGACAACATGTAAAGCTCTCACCCCAAAAAAACCCAAAACCACTAAAAACCTCAAACTTTTTGGTGGTTTGGTGATTTGCTGAGGTCCACTAGCTAAGCTTGCTGTTGCCCAGTTCGACTGTGAACCCCAACAGGCTCCAATAGATTCAATAACTTTTTGGAAGGTAGCGAGCCTCCACCTTGGAGGAGTTCAGGGCAACCATGGGCCAGATCTGATTCTCGTAGACCTTCCTCAAAACGTCAAACCTCAACTTTGCTTTTCCTGTCTTTGGTGCTGCCCTCCCTGCAAAAGTTTTCTTGCCGGTGGCATCACCATCCTCCTCAGCTCCACCTTCGTCTTCAGCCTGCTCTGGGGCAGCTTCGCCCTCAGCTGCCTTAGACTTCATCTTCTTGCTTGCTTTGACCTCCCCTGCTTTCTCCCGCTTCTCCTTCTTCTTTGCTGGCTTCTCGGCCTTCTTCTTCTTCTTCTCTGCCTCTGTGTCACCATCAGCATGGGAACCTGCAGTCTTCACCCGCTTGGGTTCCGGTCTGCTCTTTGCTGCAGAGCGGGGACGGACTGACTTGGTCTTGGCCTTGGCCTTGGCCACAATGGCCTGGGGCGGCTGCGCAGAATCGTCACCATCCGAAGCTACTGCCTCGAAAGCATCAGAGAGGTTCTGCCGGGCATCATCAGACTCACTGGCAGCATCCGAAGCCACAACTTCAACGGGGGCTGCCATCTTGGAACGCTTGGCCCGTGTGGCAGCACGAGCAGCAGGGCGCTTGATTGCGGTGGGTGCCCTGCCTCGTCGAGGCGGCTTGGCTGGTGCTGCAGGAGCAGAATCCATCTTCTGGATCTTACCCTTGGAATCTTTGAAGGCATGCTGGTCCTCCCTCCGAACCATTGGGAAATGATCACATTCAGAATCATCACCCAGGTCCTGTTCAAGGTCATCGGGTCTGGCATCCTTGGGCTCCGGATCAGCTTGGGTCATCCCTTCACGGGGATCGCCGGCAGCAGGAAGATCATCGCCAGCTGGGCCCTCATCCTCAGGGATATCAGCAGGAACCTGGGATTCCTCAGTCTCAGGAACTTGGCGTGGATCACGCAAAGGCGAAGGCGTCATCTCACCCTCCAAGGGCTCAGCCGCCTTCGCAGCATCCAACACAACCTGGCTCCAAACCTCCTCAGGCATGGGCAAGGTCTGCAAATTATCAGGGCCTTGGATGGATGATGTCAAGGAAACAGAAGCAAGCTGAAAGTTTGGGCTTGGGGGTTGTACAGTGTAGGCTCTTACACCCATACAAAATAGACAACAAAACAGGGACCAAGGTTTTACTATACGTATATACATTATAAAAACAATGACATGATGATGATGGTGATATTTTTTTGGAAGCAGAATAATTTGTTTATCACTTGCCTAGTTGCATGCATGCGTGGGCGGTGGCCCTGCGACCTCCGGCACTTCAGGCTGCTCAGCGGAAGACTTCGCCGCAGAAGCGTCCAAGGCTTGCTTGCGCTTCTCGAGACAGTTCCTGGGGATGGGCTGCAACAAGTTTTTTGATCAAACTTTATTAATGCTACCGCCCTGTGGGATGCCCCCTGTAATCTGGACCAATGCAACCCTATAGAATTTGCAATTCCTCATCCTAAAGTATCTCAACCCCTAATCTATGCTTAATTGGGGGTAGTTTTGATCGGCTCATGTAACCCTTCCTAATCAATGAAACATAGAATAAAAATTGATTTACCGATAAGCACCGAAAGTATTTCCCCACCTGCCAGTGAGGGTTGTTAGATTTTATGTCAGTTGCCTGCTCCTCTCCTCTCCTCTCCTCTCCTCTCCTCTCCTCTCCTCTCCTCTCCTCTCCTCTCCTCTCCTCCTCCTCCTCCTCCTGCTCAACCGCGATCCACGCTCAGTGTTCCCTGCCGGACCTCCACCACGACCATCCCCGCCCAGTGTTCCCTGCCGGACCTCAACCACGACCATCCACGCCCAGTGTTCCCTGCCGGACCTCAACCGCGAGTATCCACGCCAAGTGTTCCCTGCCGGACCTCATGTAGGAAGATATGGGACAAAGAATGTGCAGAAGAAAGTTAGAAAGAATGTCAGACAAGTATGTTTAAGCAAACCTGTTGAGAGCTCTGGAGTTTACTTCACATGGCCCACTGACATGTTTATATCCTGTTTGACAGACTGACATGCACAATGACCTGCCAGGTGAAACAAATGATTGGGATAGTTAGTTGGGCAAAAGTCCCGTGACAAAAGCTTCAGACAAAAGTGGTGTCAACAAGCTGTTTTGAAATGTCATGGTGGGGATCACTCGAAGCAACGTATTTTTTTTGGATTGGCCACCATTTTTACTTGGCTAGACCTTATGTTTTGTTATTCCATAAAGTTCAAAATTGGGACCACCGAGTTTCTTCAAGGAATCGATTCGCTCTTGAATCCAAATCCTTTGTGTTGGGTCCAGCGGCTTGTCAAGGGGAATACTGGAAGGGGGATATGGCAAAGTTGGAAGCTCATCACTCCCTGCAGCCTCCACTCCTTCATCTTCAGCCTCAACCACATATCCAACTTCACCCTTGTCAACCTCCTCTCCACCTTCGCCCTCAACACTCTCCCTCCCACCTTCGCCCTCATCAACCTCCATTGCACCCCCATCCACAGGAAAAAAAAGTTCCTCTTCCTCTGCACCCTCGCCGGCAGGCATGGGAGCACCGGGTCCATCGCCACCCTCGCCATCATCATCACTGACGTTCATGAGGCCAGGTTGGGAGTTGGCTTCTTCCCCCCAATGTTCATGAAGGATTGCGTAGAAGTTGTTCAGCAGCGGGTACTGGGCTAGAAGGGACCCAAGGACACCAGAAAAGATAATGCAGTAAACCCAGAAGATCCTCATCAGTAACGAACAACCTAAATACCCCATCTTCGCACACATGAGACAACACAAACATCCCAAACAGAAGTTATGATTGAGTTGGCCACATTCACCTCTACGGTCAAGGGTAGATCCTTAAATTTGTGGTTTATGGTACATTTAGTGATTGAATCATGCCCTACAAAAATGATGGACGAACCAGTTGACCATTGGGGTTTGAAATTACATATAAAGAGTTTTTTCCTCAAGTAATTGTGCACTAGGATCTTTGTTCTTGGCACCAGTCAAAAACCGCCGAATGCCATGATTGAAAAGCACTTTGATGCCATAGCCATCAAGGTGGTTGAGGCGATCATCTTGGGTGGCCCCCAGCATGTTTCTCAAATTGGCGACCTGCCAGGGATTGTCAATGAAATGGGGGGCTCCCTGATCTGGAAATTTTCTAAGTCATCCTGAAAAAATCGATGTCTCGTTTTATTGAACCATTGGAAAATTATCCCATCCCATTGTATTGGTTAGGCAATGGATGTTCCTGATATTGGCTATGAAAAAGTAAGTCCCCCAATAAACTTATGACACCTTATACTGACCCATCAACAGAAGTATGTTTTAGTGGATCCCTTTTGTCAATAAACAATGAAACAATGAATTATCCACCGTCACCCCTGGATAGCCAAGTCGTAAAACCCATTTGCCTATCATGTAAGGCACCCTTTTAACAGATGTTTTGGGGCATGTAAACTTGTCTATGGGACCCGTGGCCTCCTTCCTGCACATGTCAATCTTCACAGCAGTAGCTACAGAATGTTGTGGGCACCAAAAGCGGGCTAGGACTTCCAATGCCACATGGTTCATACTCATTGCTTTGACGGACTTGACGCCAATAGCATCATCATTGACCCATCTCGTAAAATGGCCACCCGTCAACAAACGATTTCGAACCACTTGTTGGGATTCCCACATGTGGGCTAAACTGCTATGAGCAGCATCCACTGGTGGGATCACCACAGCATCTGGTGGGATCAAAGCCTTTGGGGGCATGGAATGCAAAGTCTCAGAATTCCCAGGTTGCCCCAGGTCAAAAAGACAAGTAAAGCTTCACTTGGGCCACAAAATCCTTCCAAGGTTTCTTTCTGCCACCATTCCCAGTGAACATCGCTATGACCCACTGCCCCTTCCCTGGTGGCGCACTGGCTGTGCAAAGTGCCAGGTTGCAGAAGCATGGCCAGTCGCGGCTGAGCTTGTGGAGTCTATAAAATCATAGCACTACCCAGGTCTATCCAAAAAATCTTTATAGAATATAGCCAAACGCTTTTTGATTGAGAGGCTTGGGTAAGTGGAACACCCCATGGAAGGGGGTGACACTTTGGAAGTTTCACTCTGTTGATTTGAAGCTTTGCGAAAACAGAACCTTGGAGATGTAAACTTAGTTGGGCCAAAACCCTCAAAACATCAAAAGCGCTTTCACTATGAAAAAGCGCCGCTAGAGGTGCAAAAGCATTTCTTGCCCAAACAACCAAAAAAAGGATGGTCTGCGAGGATGCAGGTATATAATATATATGTATAAATAGCGAGAGAGAGAGAGAGAGAGAGAGTGAGTAAGAGTATATAATATATATATATATGTATATAATGGATTGTATTTCATCTGATTTCTTTTGCAACAGTGTCATGACACCGGCCTGCCCGCAACTTGAAGTGCCTCAGAGCCTCAGAAGAAGCAACCTGCCTAGGAGCCATTGGAATCCATGGCCAGCATACCGGAGATCTATCCCAAGCTGCGGGAAGCACTGGAGCGTTTTCTCCATGACCAGGCAGAGGTGGAGAGCAAGTGTCTTGAGTTCTGCCTGTATTGGTTGTCAAAAAAATTGCAACAAACCAGGCGGGAAGCAATCAGTCGGGCACGCGGTTTTGTAGAAAAGTTTCGAAAGGTCACGGAGATGGACTTGGCAGAGGAAGACATCGTGTCAATGGAGGATCTCGCTGTGGCCTGTGCCAAATCTCAATTCTGGGACAAGGATCTCTGGCATCCAATACAGACTCATTTTTATCTGAAGAAATCGGACGGAACCTGGATCGCACCTCACAAGTGTGGCATTTCGTGCCATTCGGAATGTGATCAATTAGCCTTGGAAGAGGAAATGTCCACCTATGCAGAATTCTTTAAATCTTGTCCATATGAGCACCAATCAGACGTGACAATGGTTGCAGACGATCTTTTGTGCCTTTTGAAGCCCCTGCCGGTGGAAGAGGAGTTGCTTCCTCCTGAAGGGCGAACAGATCTGCGGATTTGGGAGATCTTTGCAGCTGCAAAGGCGCAGCAGAGGCAGTTTAACATGGTGGCCGTCTATGCAAACTGCCTGCCCGAAACCAATGAGTTGGTGCAGTCAATGCAGGCCAAATTCAAAAGCCTCCTGATATCTTTCAAACGGGTGCAGTTGCACCTGGAAGGAGAAAGACTTCTTGGCAGAGAGCTCAGCTCCAAGATGACCGGCTTCGCCATGCGGCTCAAGTCCTGCTGCCGAGGAGTTGTGGGAAATATGACCTCGGAGGAATACGACCGCAGCAAGGCCACCCGGCGCTGGTCACAGCTCTCGGCCGAAGCTTCGCAGATTGCAGCTCAGGTGAAGGAGCTGGACAATTCCCTGGGCTCATGGAGCCTAGTCTCAGGAGGTGGAAGGCCTATCGAAAGCTCGGAAGTTGGCAGCATGGCATCTGGCCATTCGGTTGACAGCCAGTCCTCCTGCCTGTCGGGCCATGGTGGCCCTCACTGTTTTTTGCCCTCCTACCTCTTTAAGTCCTTGCAGGCCGATGACAAGTTGTCATCGAAGTCCTCCGTTTGGGCCAATGCAAAGGACTGAAGCCCAAGCCGTTACAGTCATATCGATGTACCACAGGGAAAGATGCGGGAGATTGCTTGGAAGACAGTCTTCATTTGTCGTGTGCAGAGCACTTTTCCTAATGAGAATGTTGTTAGAAAACCAATCACTGAAAACCAACTAAGGGAGTAATTTTGGAAGTCTCAAGTCCTCTGCAGGATTTGCAGAAGGGCTGCAAGATCATTGCGGCGGATGGTACCTTGGTAGAGGTGATCAAGTTGGAGGTGCAGAAGACCAACAAACTGCTCGAGTTGGAGAGACTTGGCACGGTTGAAGAAAATATCCGGCCTGAAAGACATGTCGTTTAATGATCATTCACAGAGCTTCTTAAAGATGGTTCCCTTTTGTTATAGGAATGAGTGGCCAGAAAAGGCAATGATTCTTTTTGAGGAGGACGGCAACATGTGGGCTACCACCAAAAAGGTCTATGTAAGGGATATGTATTGGAATGTAATATAGCTCAAAACCTGCAAAAACGAAGGCGACCCTTTAAAACGAAGGCAGACCTTACAACTAAAGTTTGTTGATAGATTTCCATTTGAGCAGCGAACGTCAAGAATGGTGTATCATGGAGTTATTGTCCTTTGGTCCTTACCTGTTTTCCCTTGTCTTCCTTTTGTTTCCTTTCTTGCTTTCACGCCTTTCCTGTGACAGTTTCTGTTGGCTTCCTTTCCGCCTTCGTTTCTTTCTGTTGATCCCGGTTGTTTTTTCCTATCTTGTTTTTCCTCCTGCTGCATTTACATTTTGTCACGTGTCTGCTTTCCGCCTGCAAGTATTCTTTTCATCCGGCGGTTTCGTTTTCCCGTCCTCCGCTGCTACTGCTCCTGCTCCTGCTGCTTGCGCTGCCATTGTTGCTTCTTCTAGCACCTTTGTCGCTTCTACGAGTCACAGTACTGTACTAATTCTGGCACATCCTGGCACTTTTTTTTTCACATTTTGCCATTGCTGCTGCCATTAGCTCGAAATGATGACTGCGCGATACCGCACGTATATTTGTGAAGGTTTGGTCGAAACCCTTGTAAAACGAAGGCGACCCTTTTAAAACGAAGGAAACATAGATATTCCAGTTTGGGGCAATAGAGTTTTGGAGGTAGCTCATGTGCAGTAAAGTGATTGCAGAATATCTAAGGATTGATGACGCAGCGCCGTTCACCACGACCCCCAGCCACCGCATCATGGTCCCATCGGATGGTGACGACATGACCATCAAGGCGGTCGACCTGAAGCTGGGGAGTTGGGTGATGTGCAGCGATGACATGGCCAAGAAGGTCAAGGGGATGAGATTTATCCATGCAGCTGGGCCAAGATGTTGATGAATGTCTGTCTGTGCGGCTTTGTTGGGACAAGATGTCGATGTTAAAAATCATGTTGAATCGATTGGGTATCATGCAGATTTAATGATGATGTGGGCATAGCCGTTTCATGTTGAACAGCACGTTTTGAGTGCGAACAGCTACATGATGCTACATGATTTCCCCTTCAGTCATCCAGACGATTCCACACTTAACAGTTAACAAGCAGACAAGATTTGGCCTCCTGCCAGCTCCCGTCCCAGAGCCCAGGTTGAGGAACAAGAGGTGCTGGCCATCACCTTCCACCCAGACAAGGCCGTGGCGTGCTTCCTGCCACCCGAGGAGCCCGTCGTGTTGACCAAGGGCCGAACCCTGAAGCCGCCGCGCCGCGGTGGGATGGGCGGCCGCAGCGTGAATCATGAGCTCATCAGCATCCCAGATACGGCAGCGGGTGAATATGAGGATTGAGCGGGCGACATTGCGAAAGGTTGGGCAATGGGGTCCAAAGATGATTTTAGTAAGATGATGTAAGATGCGATTTTGTGACACATTCCAAAAAACTGTGCCTAGAGTAGCCGAGTATGGAATGACGGAGGCCCAGAAAGGCCCAGCTTTGACATTTCCTTGAGAGCTCAGAGGCCTGAGGATCGGACGTCCCATGGCAAAGAAACTACTTCTTGGTTCAGAACCGTTTATTCCTTTGTTGTTCTCCAGTAGATTGGTTGAGCAAGCTTTGATGCTGCAACCTATGCCTCTTTCAACTCAGATATGAATTATATACATTGCTGGGGACATGATTTTTGAGGTCCTACTTTCCAAACTGGGATGACCCCATTAGTGTCGAGTCCGCATTGTTCCTCAGACTGACTTTCGCAGAAACTGCATGTCGCATAATTAGGTGTTCTGCGGACCGAAGAGTCAGCGATGGTGCTGCAATGTGGTGAGTTTGCAGAAGATACGTAGGACCTGCATCATTTGTTGGAAAATATAAAATTAAGTAAATTCGATTAAATTCGTTCCAGAAAACGTGGTACCATCTGGGAATGTCGTTTGACCCTTGATTGACATCGGTTTGCATCATTGAAGCAGTGACCAAAACATTTTCTGTGCCATTTCACCAACATTTCGACATCACACACCACGTGGCCGTCCAATTTTGGCTGCCGCAGCTCGCTGCGGTGTGCACGGCTAGTCGAGCCAGCTGCTGCCGCGGTGTCTTCCAGTATGCCCAGGATTCGACCGCCAAACCGAGTGGATGTGAAACGGTCGCTGTAAGTGGTCCTCGGCCAACACATATACTTATTATCCAGATCAATCCAGCCTTTGATAATATTTGATAATTATTGACTATTATATATAATTATATAATTATTCAATTATATAATTATGTAGAATTATATATATATACATACATCTCTTATTCCTATTGTTGGCGTTGTAGCTATACCCTAATTTTGTGGTCTTAGGCCACTCGGATGAAGTCCACCAAGTTGAGGTCGACGGCCTGGGTTCGGCATTTTGTCACACAGAGCACATGAACGTCCGTAGTGCCATGTGATCAGCAATCTGTTTCGACGGCCACGGCGAAAATTGTGGGGTGTGCCAAGCGGGGGTCATGGTTTGCTCCTTCATGGTGCTGCAATGTATTGCCAATCCATGAATGAAGGAATCATAGCTGGGAAGGACTCTGTCAAGATTTGTTGCCGCTGGCGTTGCTCACTTCGAAGCATGACAAGCCTTTATTTCAACAAAATACATAACATATATATATATATTAATTTCGTCTCATTAAAAATACATGTTGATGCATTGAACCATATCAAACCATATCAAACCTACTTGTGGCAAAGAACGCCAGCAACAGGTTTGAAACGTTTGAAACATTGACCAACTGTCTTGGGAAACCAACATCCCATCCCCACTGACTCGATCCGTCCATCGTTCGCCGGTGGCCAAAACTCCTGAGGCTAAGCACGGTGATGGGTGCAGGTGCCAAGGGCACTGGTGGAAATGTTGGGAGAGATGGAGCTCGGTGAATGCACAGAGGAAAAGATTTTGGGAATAAACTGTACTCAACAATAGTTATACTATGTTATCATTATATTCCATTATATAGATATACAGTGACTCAACGAACTTGGCTTGGCAATTTGAATCCACCATTGGGGAATTTGCATCGTTGATTCCGTTTTAATCTAAGTTCATGCAATCAAAGCGGAATTATGAAAAGCAACATATATGAACATAAGATATGTAATATATGAATATACATTATATATAATATGATATAATAATATAATTTATATATATATACTTATTTTTCTAGTCACTGCAATAATTGTCAACAATCCATGTAAATGCGTGGATGCGCAACCTGGCCGCCTGAGGTTATCCCTTGTGGGGGTGGCTGTGGTTATTACCTGTTCGAGGACTCCCCAAAACAAAGACCGAGACCGAGAAACTGATGATGTTTGTCCCTTCTTTTGGTGTAAAGTGTCTTTGGAGGAAAGCTTCCAGTTTGATTGGCCCACAAGGCGTATCATAAAGTTGCAGGTCGAGATTGCTGATTGGCTAGAGCAGATTGCATCGTATCAGTCAGGAGTTCACGGCCACACAAACAAAGCCACTTTCAATTACTGTAATCACTTTTTTGGGGGCATTCGCTGGTTGAAGAACCTGAGATTTGGGACTACTTGTGCCATGAGACTTCGGTTCAAGATGGGGGTTTGCCCAAAATAGTGGATAGCCTAGGGGAAAAAAATTGAAACATATTGAAGCATACTACTTTCAACACCATTTGAGTTTTTTTCCACTATTTTTATATAAACACACCCAAATAGTTTTTGTTCATTGACTTAGTGAAAATCTCAGTGATAATGATAACCTCCTGGATTTTCCTGTTCCAACATATATGTTTTTTGGAGCCTCCAAGGTGTTGGTCCACAGGCGACCCCTCAATGACTCGATCCGCCAGGTGCCAGAGACGCTGCTGCGATCAGCCGTGGAGGTGTAGTCCAGGGAGTTGAAGCGGTGCAACTGGGGGGTTACCATGGGTCAAAGAATGGCATTCAAGTGGACCTAATATGATAACTGATAATATGGTGTTTGTATAGTGGGATACTATGAGTGATAATATGATAATATGGACATTACCTGTGTTTGTATGATAATATGATAGTGGGATAATAATGTGATACTGAAACTTTAGTTTATGAGTGGTTTGGGGGAAATCAATTCTGTGCCGAGCTGGTTTATTGGGGATTATGTTCACCCATAATGGGAAGCCGTATTAATCGACCAGTATATACAGGGATGATAGAGGACAGCGGATTTTGAACGTTGCTCACATGGGTTAGTGCGAAAATATGCTATACCTATAAAATATAAATTGGCATGTTCTTTGTGAAAATAATGATCAACCCTTGTTTGGGGGTACATGTATATACCCAATTTTGGACGATCATACATGTGTGGGTATGTTTTGGTATAAATTCCAAAGCTTGAGGGTGACTTAAGCATACAATCGGAACATATGGGAAGCTGTCACGGGGGCAATTGTCCAATCTTTTTCAATGTCCTGTTGTTCTAAGAATATGACATCGCCTCAAGTTTCAGAGCGTTGCGAAAACTGGGGCAGATTCACCCATACAGTATCAATGTAGGTTACAAGCAGCGTCCAATTTCAAGATTTTCACCATTTACAACTACAGCAAGATATACTGTAGATTCATATGCAAGAAGATAGGTATGTCATTATCCTGAAATAGAAAGAATACCATCCCTTTTTCCAAAGTTCAGAAGATATTCTTCCAATTTGCCATGATCCAATGTCCTGTTCTATCCAATGACAGTTATCAACCAAAGGTTCTTGAATGTTATTAATAACTATGGACTATGGCGGTGATGTACTGTGATCTGCATTCCCCCCTCACATGAAACATGAACTTTGGTTTCAACACGTGTTTGTCACATGATGAAACATGCCTTGCAGGGGCTGCTGAAGACGGTGGCTCGAGAGGATCCGCTGGGGGTTGTATTCACAGCCAGGGTATTTTGCTGGCCGTGAAGGTAACTTGTCCCCTTTACCAGACAAGGTGGATGATAGATGGTTTTGCTTCTTTGGATCTGGGGAACCTCAAATATGGCCCAAATGGTTCCGAAGTTTATGTTCAAGTACTGGAAATGATGTTGAGCACTGTGGATTCACAAGATATCGGATGGGTTCATGTAATTTTCAAGCAGCAATCACGGACTTCATGTTGTTTTTGGTACCATTTTAAGACCCATTGTCGATGCGCAGTTCGGGATCCTGAGAGTTTCCAAAGGTTTGCCTATTTCTGGCGGTCCGGTTTTACGCTCTGCTCTTTCCACCGAGGAAGATATAGATGATATAGATGTATACTTCATCTTAAGCAGACTTGCTCCTTTTAGTTAGTTAGAGTGCATCTTTTTGGTGGTGTATCAATACACCAGCCACCTAGTTGGGGGTATCAAGTATCAAGATGAAGCGGAAGCTTTGATATGTTCATATTGGATGAAGTAAATATGATCCAAAACTGGCTTCCATGTCATGCTTAACACCTTGGGAACTAAATTTACCGGGATGGCTTCATCGAAGCATCAAGCATTCTGAACCATCAACCTGTGAATCTTTGGATATCGAGATCGAAATCAGCGACCCCGTCGTGCTGTCCCCATTTGGGTAGAGTGACAGGACAAGCACCCCACGCGTTTCTGGGATAGTCAGAACAGTTATTTCAACACCTATAATTTTCCACATGAATGGATGGTTGAACATCCATGTACCTCATGTACCAACCTTTTGACGTTCACCGGGGTATTGGGCTTTGATGTCGAAGGCTATCTGGTTTGTGATCGCACCATTTCTTGTTGATATGTTTGGCAAACAGACGAAAACCCTGGGTCTCCCAAGATGTTTGTGAGATCGTAAAGTATCGTAAATACAATCATATAATATATAGAATCCAAACATCCTGTAATGTCCAAAACAAAATGTGATGAGACAGTTCTGAAACATCAAAATTTGGCAGGTATTTGGAAGGTGAACCCCAACCCATGCCCAGATGTTTTTTCATCCGTTCCCCTGCAGCAGGACCTGGGAATCCTGCTGCCAAGGCTGGGATGCTGGGCGGAAGATCGGGTGGATTGAACCAGGGGTACCCAATCAGAACAAAATTATTATCAAGTTAAGTGGGACTTCCATTTTTCCCGGTAAATCAAATCAGGGAAAAATTGAGAAGATCATGTTTGTTTTCTACTTTGTCAGCTTGTATAGCGTCGTATGGGTTTTCTTGAAGAATCCTTATCGGCCATGAGTGATGGCCTCCCAAAAAAGAAAAGCTGTCTCTGACCTTTCGATTTTTGCTTGGTACTGGTTTATTATACGTTTTTATTGTACTTTTGTCATGTTTGATCGGAGATAAATATCAGGGTGGACTCATCCCTCATCAAAGTCGATGCCTCATGGAGGGTAACATCAGAAGTTGACCACTCATAGATGCTGATATCAAACAAATGTCAACAAAGTGACCCCCATGTATGCCAATATCAATCGAATTTCATCAAGGTTAGCCCCCCATGGAGACTCATACAATGCTAATTTTCATCACAATTGACCCCGGACGGATGATAATATGTGGCTACTTTCAACAGAATGGACCCTTCCTCAATAACGTGGAGTTGATTAATTGTGTTGTGTTTTAGGAAAAACAAAAACAAAAAGGTGTTTCCATTATTGGTTGATATGATGATTATTAATCCAAGTTAGCCATTACTCTTCACTAAAAAATCCCGAAAGTCTGGATCTCCATCTACTTGGGAGTGTCATACAGAAGATAATAAAGGCTGTCAGCAGGTAGAGACCGCTGGACTTGCCACGCTTATTAGTGCTAAATCTTCAGGCCATCAACACTGTTATAAACGCATGCACTTTCCAAGAGCATCGAAGACGTTTTGATTTGTTCATTGCTGAATAATAATTCATCATCCTTTCTGCCAGAAAATATAAACAGATACTTGAAGCTCCCGTCTACACCAAGCCCCAAGATCATCGATTACCATTTGGCATAAATAGAAAACAACATAAAACATATCACATGCATTAAGTATATCCATGTCACATGTATACATGAAAAATATGCATATATTATATAGACTCATATATTATACATATATATATATAACTTATATGTCCATCCCCCTTCCCATGAATCCACCAACATTGGATTCCCTCCACCAGGGCGTCACGTTGGGGCAGCCAAGCAGTGCACCTGTTGCTTTACTCCCCATGGATCCTCCACGGAAACAGAAGTGCAATCCCTTGTTGTTGTTTAAATGATGTGTGTTGTTTTGATGTGTTTTGATGTGTTGTGTTTTTGATGTGTTTGTCTTGTTTCTTGATATTTCTTGATGAACATGATGTGTGGTTATAAAGGTTAGCGGATTTGGAGATTACTGCACCATGTTTTCCACCACATTGATCAGTTGGGAGATTACTGCGCAAGCTTTGTTGGAGGACATGCTTCTGGTCCGGGATGGTTTCACGGAAGCCCGTGGACCAATAAAAACACAATCCGGATCCAATGCACATCATCTTGACCTATGTCGAAAATTGTTGGATTCGGAATACTTTCGATGACATCCCAAGGCGAAAAGGTTTTTGGGGCAAGACACAAACACATCCGATTTCTTTTGCAACAGTGTCATGACACCGGCCTGCCCGCAACTTGAAGTGCCTCAGACCCTCGGGAGCAATTTGCTTGCAGGCCGTTGGAATCCATGGCCAGCATACCGGAGATCTATCCCAAGCTGCGAGAAGCACTGGAGCAATTTCTCCATGACCAGGCAGAGGTACAGAGCAAGTTGGCTGAGTTGAAAGGCGAACCTCGGACGTCGGAAAAAATGCAACAAACCAGACGAGAAGCAATCACTCGGGCACGCGGTTTTGCAGAAAAGTTTCGAAAGGTCACAAGGATGAACTTGGACGAGGAAGACATCGTGTCAATGGAGGATCTCGCTGTGGCCTGTGCCAAATCTTGGTTCTGGGGCAAGGATGTCTGGGAACGAGAATATTTCGATACTTTTGGACATTATGCTTCTTGTCCATATGAGCACCAATCAGGCGTGAAAATGGTTGCAGAAGATCTTTTGTGCCTCCTGAAGCCAGTTCAAGAGGAGTTGCTTCCTCCCGAAGGGCCAACAGATCTGCGGATTTGGGAGATCTTTGCAGCTGCAGAGGTTCAGCAGAGGCAGTTCAACATGGTGGCCGCCTATGCAAACTGCCTGCCCGAAACCAATGAGTTGGTGCAGTCAATGCAGGCCAAATTCAAAAGTCCCCTGTCATCTTTCAACCAGGTGCAGTTGCACATGGAAAGAGAAGGCCTTCTGGGCTCCGAGCTCGGCTCCAAGATGACCGGCTTCACCATGCGGCTCAAGTCGTACTGCCGAGCAGTTGTGGGAAATATGACCTCCGGGAATTGCGACCGCAGCAAGGCCACCCAGCGCTGGTCACAGCTCTCGGCCGAAGCTTCGCAGATCGCAGCTCGGGTGAAGGAGCTCGAGCTGCCTGAGGTCAATTCCCTGGGCTCATGGACCGTGATCTCAGGAAGTGGAAGGCAGATGGAGGACTTGGAAGTTGGCAGCATGGCATCTGGTCATTCAGTTGACAGCCAGATGTCTTGCCTCTCAGGGCATGGTGGGCCGCACTGCTTTCTGCCTTCATACCTCTTCAAGTCCTTGCAGTCGGAGGGCAAGTTGTCATCGAAGTCCTCCGTTTGGGCCAATGCAAAGGACTGAAAATACAAGCCGTTTCAGTCATGTGGGAGCTACCGCAAGCAAACAGATCTTGAATGTTCTTGATGTTTTTTGCAGGTTGATTGAAGGTAGTCTTCATGCGTGGTATGCGCCCTTTTCCTACCTACTCTACCTGAGTCCATCATCAGTCCACACGGCAGTACCATCTCATGATCGCCCCAAGGAACCGATGGTGCCAAGTGAGCAGGTTTTGTTTGAACAATACACTGAAAATGCATGAAAATGCGCTTTTGTCAAAAGAAGCAATGATTCTAACGACCAAAGTAACATGTTTGGAGGGGTATTTGTTTTAAACTATCGTGCCGACAACAAGTAAAAATAAATGAGAACTGAAAACAACATGATATAAAATGATTCTGTTTATAAGACGGGCAAGATCCAATCCAACAATATAAGTTATAGGAAAACCGTGATAACATCTACATCCAATACACCCAACAAAGTTGTGCCTCAACCGACGTTCTATACATACATACATACATACATACATCCATCCATACATCCATACATCCATACATCCATACATCCATACATCCATACATCCATACATCCATACATACATACATACATCCATACATCCATACATCCATACATCCATACATGCATACATGCATACATGCATACATACATACATACATAGAAAGATACATGGATCTAAAAGTAGATGGCTCAACTCGAAAACCAAAATACCCACAAGATGGCACCGCGGGGTGAGAAAGAAAACGGCGCTATTTTAGCTGGAACATAAAACGAGTTCCGCCAGTTGAAGAAAAAAACCAATCTACTTTAGAATGAAAAGGTAGATGGCGCAACTGCCACTCCAGTAGATGGACATAAGGGTATTGTTAACTAATTTTCTAAATTTCCGATCATTTTTGCTTGTTTATACTGTAGATTACACATGTTTGTATTGTAAATATCTTGTATACATATATTATATATATATGTATATATAATTCCCCTAGATTTTTTTTATCCTAAAAATGACTTGCGCCATCTATGTCCCTTAAATCCCATTCAAACGCCAGAAATTTCTTTTTCGATGGGTTCAAAAATGAGTTGCGCCATCTATGTCCCTTAGATCGCATTCAAACGCCAGAAGAAATCGGTGGGTTAAAAAATGAGTTGCGCCATCTATGTCCTTTATATCGCATTCAAATCATTTAAAATTTCATTGCGATACCTTGAAAATGAACCACTGAATGTTTTAAAACTGATTGTGGGCAGAATTTATGGATAGAAATCTTATTTTTCAACATATTTTGACAAAAATATTTTTAAAAAATGTTGTAAAAATTCATTGCAATACCTTGAAAATGATCCGCTGAATGTTCTAACATTGGTTGTGGACAGAATTTGGGATAGAAATAATTTTAAAAAATATCAAATTATTCAGCACATATGCACAATTTTAACATGTCAATATGTTACAAAAGCAGCTTTTCTGGTTTACAAACTACGCGCGCGCGTTGGTGGAAAACGAAAGCGAGCAGCGTTTTCACCGGGGTGGTTTATGAACCCATCAGAGCTATCCCAAGACAGGAGGCAGTTGCGCCATCTATGTCCCAAAAAGGACAACTCTGATGTCTTTCCTGGTGGTTTTGCCTCCTGTCTTGGGACAACTCTGATGTCTTTCCTGGTGGTTTTGCCTTCTGTCTTGGGATAACTCTGATGTCTTTCCTGGTGGTTTTGCCTCCTGTCTTGGGACAACTCTGATGTCTTTCCTGGTGGTTTTGCCTTCTGTCTTGGGATAACTCTGATGTCTTTCCTGGTGGTTTTGCTTCCTGTCTTGGGACAACTCTGATGTCTTTCCTGGTGGTTTTGCCTCCTGTCTTGGGACAACTCTGATGTCTTTCCTGGTGGTTTTGCCTTCTGTCTTGGGATAACTCTGATGTCTTTCCTGGTGGTTTTGCCTCCTGTCTTGGGACAACTCTGATGTCTTTCCTGGTGGTTTTGCCTCCTGTCTTGGGACAACTCTGATGTCTTTCCTGGTGGTTTTGCCTTCTGTCTTGGGATAACTCTGATGTCTTTCCTGGTGGTTTTGCCTCCTGTCTTGGGACAACTCTGATGTCTTTCCTGGTGGTTTTGCCTTCTGTCTTGGGATAACTCTGATGTCTTTCCTGGTGGTTTTGCCTCCTGTCTTGGGACAACTCTGATGTCTTTCCTGGTGGTTTTGCCTTCTGTCTTGGGACAACTCTGATGTCTTTCCTGGTGGTTTTGCCTTCTGTCTTGGGACAACTCTGATGTCTTTCCTGGTGGTTTTGCCTTCCGTCTTGGGATAACTCTGATGTCTTTCCTGGTGGTTTTGCCTCCTGTCTTGGGACAACTCTGATGTCTTTCCTGGTGGTTTTGCCTTCTGTCTTGGGATAACTCTGATCGATGTGGCATATTTTGTTTAGGTTGGTTGATGGATGTCGGGAGATATGAGGGAGTTGCGCCATCTATGTGGGCATTCCCAGCCTGATTTTGGCGAATGAGTGGGAGTTGCGCTATCTATGTCCCTAAAAATGACCTATTTTTTGCAATCTTCTACGCTCTGGCAATTTGCCACTTTGCTTGGCCCCGGAAAACGGACCCCACCAAGTCCCCCGAAAAAGAACTTTTTCCTGAGTTTCCCAAAGGAAACTTGACACTTGGTGGGGTCCGTTTTCCGGGGCGAACCCAAGTGGAAAATTGGCACTGCGCTGGTTTCCCTCCATTTTTTTTCTCAACATCAAGCTGCCTTTTTGGGACATAGATAGCGCAACTCCCACTCATTCGCCAAAATCAGGCTGGGAATGCCCACATAGATGGCGCAACTCCCTCATATCTCCCGACATCCATCAACCAACCTAACCAAAATATGCCACATCGATCAGAGTTATCCCAAGACAGGAGGCAAAACCACCAGGAAAGACATCAGAGTTATCTCAAGACAGGAGGCAGTTGCGCGATCTATGTCCCAAAAAGGACAACTCTGATGTCTTTCCTGGTGGTTTTGCCTCCTGTCTTGGGACAACTCTGACGTCTTTCCTGGTGGTTTTGCCTCCTGTCTTGGGACAACTCTGACGTCTTTCCTGGTGGTTTTGCCTCCTGTCTTGGGACAACTCTGATGTCCTTCCTGGTGGTTTTGCCTTCTGTTTTGGGATAACTCTGATCGATGTGGCATATTTTGGTTAGGTTGGTTGATGGATGTCGGGAGATATGAGGGAGTTGCGCCATCTATGTGGGCATTCCCAGCCTGATTTTGGCGAATGAGTGGGAGTTGAGCCATCTATGTCCATAAAAGGCAGCTTGATGTTGAGGTAAAAATATGTCGGGAAACCAGCGCAGAAGATTGCAAAAAATATGTCATTTTTAGGGACATAGATGGCTCGACTGACCTGTTTTAAAGGGAGTTGAGCTATCTATCCCCTTTTTTTGGACATAGATGGCGCAGCTCAAGATTCTGAGCCACGTACTTTTAGGGCGGAGTAGATAGATACACTCATACATACATACATACATGCATACATACATACATACATACATACCTACATTACTACATTACTACATTACTACATTACTACATTACTACATTACTACATTACTACATTACCATACATACATTGCCATACATTGCCATACATTACCATACATTACCATACATTGCCATACATTGCCATACATTGCCATACATTACCATACATTACCATACATTGCCGTAAATTACCATACATTGCCATACATTGCCATACATTACCATACATTACCATACATTACCATACACACCATACATGACCACACATTACCATACATTACCGTACATTACCATACATTACCATACACACCATACATGACCACACATTACCATACATTACATTACATTACATTACATTACATTACATCCATTACATACATTACAGACATTACAGACATTACAGACATTACAGACGTACCATACATACCATACATACCAGTAGTACCGCACAAGGCGGTGGCGGAAGTTTCAAAAATAGGAAACCTATAGGAGAGATTGGCTGTTGTGAATCAGGGATGGCAGAGCGAATCCACTGATGGACCGAAAGGTGCTTGAGGTCTCCTCTTTTTCTCTCTCTTTCTCTGACTATCTACTTACCTACCAGCCTATCTTCTATGTATCTATCTATCTATCGATCTATCTATCTCTCTCTCTCTCTCTTTCTCTCTTTCATCTCATTACCTATCTACCTATCTACCTATCTACCTATCTACCTATCTACCTATCTACCTATGTACCTATGTACCTATCTACCTATCTATCTATCTATCTCTCTCTCTCTCTCTCTTTCATCTGTCTATCTGTCTAGCTGTCTACCTGTCTGTCTATCTATCTGTCTATCTGTCTACCTGTCTATCTGTGGTGCAGTGTCATTCAGTGTAATGTAGTGTAGTGTAATGTAGTGTGTAGTGTAGTGGAGTGTAGTGGAATGTAGTGTAGTGTAGTGTAATGTAGTGTAGTGTAGTGTAATTTCGTGTAGTGGAGTGTAGTGGAGTGTAGTTGTGTAGTCGTAGTTGTAGTTGTAGTTGTAGTGGAGTGTAGTGTAGTGTAATGTAGTGAAGTGTAGTGGAGGGTAGTGTAGTGTAATGTAGTGTAGTGTAGTGGAGTGTAGTGTAGTGTAATGTGGTGTAGCGTAATTTAGTGTAGTGGAGTGTAG